AATTTTAAAATCTCTTTTTTGAATTTTGATAATTGAATGAAAGTTGAAATAGGTTATTTAGTTCCAAAAAAGAAAAAAATTGATTGTGAAGCATGAAACATGGGTGGGTGACAATGCTATGTTCATTTCTTTTAACAACAAAACATGGGATATAATTTTGAGCCAATCATAATGACCAAAACAACCAACACGAAATGGGTGGTGAACCTATATTCTTCATCTTGAATGATAAGACGAATGATCAAAATTTTAGTATTTGTGCCATCTAGAGGAGGCGGGAAGCAAAGAAGCAAGTGTAAGATCATATCTTGGCTCATACATATGCAACAAGCATTTGTCATCTAACCTTTAGTAAATGATGGTGGGCTTAGTGGCACGGGGTTTTTCTTATACGTACTTACCTTAACGAACATGCATTTCATAATTTCTAGGAGAACATACAACCTTAGAACCATACGAAGCTAAATGTACTAAGCTAGAATGAATGAGATTTTCCTTTTGCTCCAATTGCTATGTTCTTAGGGCGAGCGATTCATCGAATAACCATTACTAACCAAAATCATAGGCTATTTCATGAGTTAAACATGATCTAATAGGTTTTGGGGATGTTTTTATATGCATTTGAATGTTTTTGAAACACGTTATTTTTTTCACATTCTAATTCAATAATTCATGTATAAGTATAGTAGACCACTATTTGTCCCTTGTTCCTTAGAATTTCACATGCCAAATTAATCTGTGTGGACAAGCTGATCATGTATAAGTATAGCAGACCACTAATTCATGTATGCCGCTAATTCATGTATGCCATAATTCCTTGGAATGTCGATAATTCATCCGTGTTGCTTGAAATCAATAAGACAAAAAACACAAACCGATAGAACTTTTGCTTGCTTGATTAGGCGGTTTAGGCATTTACACTTTTGCTTTGCTTTATAAAACACTTTGCTTAACATTATTTATATTTGATTTAATGCATTAAGAGAAATTTAATAAATGCTAATGACTTGAGATCAATCATCAATGTAATAGTTTTTTTTCTTTGTGCAAATGTCGCGACTCGAAGAAATTATGGGTTCAACCAATGAACCACTAACTCTAAGTGAAGCTCAAACAAACACACAAAATGATAGGGAATAAAGAGAAAAGCAATGAAGCCAAAATCGATTGTGTGAAAACATTTCACCAAGTTTGAAGATGAAAACAAAGAAATCAAAACAAGATGCAATTATTATGACAAGGTACTTACCAATCATCCTACAAAAAATAGCACTATCGCACTTAAGTCTCATATGATTGTATGTAAAAAACACCCCTATAGTATTGAGACTTCACAAAATCAATTAAACCTTCACTCAAGTACTCAATGAGAAAGCACTTTTAGCACATTAAAATTTGATCAAAATGCTATTAGAAATGCTTTAGCTTTCATGATCATTGTAAATGAATTTCCATTTAAATTTATGGAGGGTCCGGGATTTCAAAAGTTTATGTCCATTGCATTACCTAGATTCAAAATTTCATCACGGTTTATGGTTTCAAAAGATTGCTATTAACTTTTTTTTCAATGAGAGATTAGTATTGAAGCAATTCTTGAAAATGAATTCTCAATGAATTTTGTCTTACTAGGGACACGTGGTCATCTATTTAAAGAATCAATTATATGTGTTTAACGACTCATTTCATTGATAATGATTGGAAGTTGCATAAAAAAATCTTGAATTTTTATCCGGTTGATAGTCATAGGGGTATGCACTTAGGTAATGCCATTGAGAAGTGCTTAATTGATTGGGAGATTGAAAAGATTTTTACTATTACGAGTTGATAATGCAAGTTCTAATGATGTGGTAATTATACACTTAAAAGATGTTATTAATAATTGGGGTCATAGTATGTTAGATGAGGAATTTCTTCATATGAGGTGTGTGACACATATTTTGAATCTTATTGTTGTTGATGAGTTAAAGCATGTTAATCCTTCGTGTTCGAGCGGTCGTGAGGTATGTGAGACAATCTTTGGCTAGGTAGAAAAAATTTAAGAAATGTATTGAGATATAAAAGATTGATTCTAAGAGTTTGTTACATCTAGATGTTGCAACTAGGTGGAATTCAACGCATTTGATGTTAGATGCGGCCCAAAAATTTGAGAGAGCTTTTAAGAGATTTGAGCAAGTTGACCCTTTGTATAGATGTGAACTTGATGTGAATCATGATGAAGATGTATTTGGAACGCTTAATGCCAATGATTGGATAGTTTGTAGGAATATGGTGGACATGTTAAAACCCTTTTATAATCTTAATTTGCTTGTTTTGGGTTCTTCGTATGTTACTTCTAATGCTTTCTTTGAAGAGATTTGTGGGGTTGAATATGTTTTGAGAAAATGACAACAAAGTTCTGAGGTTGATGATTGTTTAATGGGTATAAGAATGAAAGAAAAGTTTAATAAGTATTGGAGAGACGTTAAGAAAATGAACAAGTTGATTTATATTGCAACAATTTTTGATCCTAAGCATAAATTTCGATTTGTTCAATTTTCTTTCAATGAATTGTATAGTGATTTGAATGGTGAAATGATGATAAATCTTGTGAGGGACTCTATATATGCCATGTATTATTCATATTGCGGGTTGAGAAGATCTAATATTGACCAAGGTGGTGGGAGAATAGAAGATGCAAATGAAGAAATGGTTGAGCAAGGGCTAATAGGTGTGGTTTGTGAAATGAAATTAAAATATAAAAAATTCAAGATTGATGTTGAAGGTGGAGAAAATAAATTGGAGTTGGATATGTATCTTGATGAAGTTGTCGAGAAAGAGGATAAAGATTTCGATATTTTGATGTGGTGGGAAAACAATTGTGCTCGATTTTACATTTTTTCTCAAACGGCTTGTGATGTCTTGGCGGTTCCTATATCAACTATTGCTTTAGAATCTTCATTTAGTACTGAAGGAAGATTTCTCGACTCTTTTAGGAGTTCTTTAACTCCTAACATTGTCCAATCTCTTATATGTACTCAAGATTGGTTTTGAAATTCCTTGACATCGGTTAATGTTGAAGAAGATTTACGAGATCTTGACAAAATTGAAGCGGGTAATTTTGTTAACTCTTTATCTTTTATTTATCATTTTTTTTATTTATGAAGTTTAATGTTTAATAATGTTAAAGTATTGATTTATTTTTTATTTTTTTTAGATATAGCAAAACTTGCTTTGGTGCCAACTATGATAGATATATGATCGATTAATGGTGTTTTGATCGTTTGGATGACATGAGTAAGTTTTTAATTTTTATTTGCATGATATATTAATTTTTTCAACTTGAATATTTTGATAGATTATTTGAGTTAATGAGGTGTTTTTCTTTTTTAGGAAATGCCAAGATTTGGAAGTTGGATTTTGAAAGTTAATGTTTGTATTTGTATTATGGTTTAAGGATGTTTAATGGATTGTATTTAAATTTTTAATTATGGATGATTTTATATGGATCGCGTGGATTGCATTTTAATCATAGATTGTGTGGATTGCACTTTAATTATGGATTTTGGTTTATGGATTGAATTTTAATTATGGATGATGTTTGAATGTTGGTTTATGTATTGTATTTTAATAATAGATGATGTTTTGTTTTGGTTATTTGATATTGCATTTTAAATTCAAGTCCATAATTAAATTGATATTTAGATGTTTGGATGATGCTTTGTTTTGGCTATTTGATTTGGTTTATGTATTGTATTTTAATAATGTTTGGATGATTGGATGTATTTCGATGTTTGGATGATGTTTTGTTTTGGTTATTTGATTTAATAATGTATTTTAATAATGTTTGGATGATTGGATGTTTTGGTTATTTGGGTATTTGATATTACATTTTTATTTGTTTTGGATGTCCGGGTGATGTTTTGTTTTGGCTATTTGATTTGGTTTATGTATTGTATTTTAATAATGTTTGGATGTTTGAATGATGTTTTGTTTTGATTATTTGATTTGATAATGTATTTTAATAATGTTTGGATGATTGGATGTTTTGGTTATTTGATATTATATTTTTATTTGTTTTGGATGTTTAATGTTTTGTTGCATTTTAAATTGCTGGAAATGGCCACTTGCTAGTGCTTCGTGCTTTCCGGTTCCAATGTTCCATGTATATTACAAATGCTAAAGTTTTCCGGAATAGTAAGTTTAAAAAAAAAAATCCGATTTTAACGAGAAAAATCGAACCGCAATTTTAGTTTTTTAATTGAAAAACTGAATCTTAATTCGGTTGGTTTTTATTTTTTTAAATTTGGTTAACCGAAAATCGAAAAAACACCGAAATCGAACAAAAAAACCGAATGCTCACCTTTAGGGAAAATAATTACTTGTTCGAGTTCAATCTCAAAAAGCTCTATTTTCCAATTCATAATGTAGGATCATTCGGATATAAGTGCAATCCAAATTCCTAAGATCTTAAGATAGATCATTTGAATGTAAGTGTAATTTAATTCATGGAGAAATGTCTTATATGTTCGGACCCAATTGATAAAATAATTTGTTTGCTGGCTAAATTGAAAATAGGTATATAGTTCATTGACTGGACTAAGGTGTTTTCAAAAAGAAACTAGTCTAATCTGTTCTGCGTGCAACACGACCAACGCGCAAATATATAAGGAGAGACAGAAAACCAGAAGCACACGTTAGCTGAGGGGGAAAAAAAAAAACGAAAAGAAACATAAACAAAATTATATTTTGCAGCGATCGGACCTCTAGGATCCGTTTTACTGGGTCCCTCTCATTTCTGTCCTTCTCCTCTCTCTCTCTCTCTCTCTAAAAAAAAATTTCCCCATGAATTGAGAAATTACAGAGAAGAAGAAGAAGAAGAAGAAGAAGAAGAGAGAAATAACAGAAAACGAAGAGACAAAAATCGAGAGAGATGTGGGTATTTTATTTGATCTCGTTACCTCTAACCCTAGGCATGGTGATTTTAACAGCCAAATACTTCGCTGGACCTGAGGTTCCGCGTTATGTCTTCTTCACTGTCGGATACACCTGGTTCTGTTCTCTCGCGATCATCATCCTTGTCCCTGCAGATATCTACTCGGTAACTCAGTTACACTCGCATCCATCTGATTTTTTTCTTCTAGTTTTACTGTTATTTTCCGTTTTATTGAATTTGATTTTATTTTTTTTTGCTATTTTTTTCTTGAATTATGCTTTAATTTTATATCTGTTTTTAAATAGAGGAAAAATTTTAGAAGGGGAACATTATATCATGGTCATAGTCATAGTTATAGCTATTTCCTTTTCTATTGAATTTGGTTCCAGTTTTTGTGGTTGATTCTTCTTCTTGTTACATGTACAGACTAAATTTGATCTTGATCGCGGAGGCATTTCTTTTTATTGGAGTTGGTCATATTGGAGTACATTTTTACTTACCTGGTAAGTGGAACGCTTTTACCTTACTGAGTTGTAATGCTGAGAGTGCTTGAAATAATTTTAGGATTATCTGTGAGCTTTTATGTAAATTATCTGTCGATGTCTTGTAAACCGACGTGTATAGAATCTGTTTGTTAGTCACTGGACTTGGGCGCAATTGCGAATCTGTCATAGTCGAACATGAAATTACGACTAAATTACTGTTGTCAATTTTTTTTTTTTTAAAAAAAAACTCCTGCTTGATGTTGCATATCATTTTGTCTTAAAGATACTTGTAAATGTTGTCTTTTCCTAGTTAGTAGATGCACGATTCCTCATGGATTTAAATTATGTTATCTCTAAGCAGGGCTGTGGTGCCCCTTATCCAGGGTTTTGAAGATGCTGGAGATTTCACTGTGGTAGAAAGATTAAAGACTAGTGTACATGCAAACTTAGTCTTCTATTTAATTGTGGGAGGCATTGGCCTCTTTGGAATTATTCTTCTCATCATGATGGATAAGATAAGGTTCCTTTCTTTCCCTCCTAATGGTTACTTTCTTTGAAGTGGATTATATTTTTTTCTTTATATTCATAGTTTGCTTTTACAGATTTAATTTAGTTCTATTTTTTAACTTTTTTCATTCACTCCATCACTTCAGAAACTCTTCTATTTGTAAAATCTGTTGCTTGCTTACTGTCATATTTTACATCTTGAAATAATTTTGTTATTAGCCAGTCATGTTGGATGTGGTATAGTGGTGGATTCTTGTAAAGTTATGAACAAATTATGAATCTGTGGATACTTTTGTTTCTTAGTGACTTTGTAAGAAAATTGTTCACATACTTTGTGATTTGCCATCTCCATCGACAGGATCGGAAATGTGCTTGCTTTTGCCATGGCCTGCTCGAATACATTTGGACTTGTTACTGGTGCATTTCTTCTTGGTTTTGGTTTGAGTGAAATTCCCAAGGGCCTGTGGAGAGATTCGGATTGGTCCACCCGTCAAAAAGTACTTTCTCATAGAATTTCCAAAATGGCTGTGAAACTTGATGATGCTCATCAAGATCTTTCAAATGCTATTGTAGTACGTATTCTTCCTTTTCTCATTTAAAATTGTGTGAAAATTTATACAAAAAGTAGAGTTTTTAATTTTATTGTTTTCTGCAATTTCATAAAATTTGTAGTTTTACCAATAATCACAAGAGGCTGATACTTATCTTTGCTTTTCCTGTCTTCATCTGAGCTTAATTAAAATTTCTCTAACAGTCTCCTTGTTTCCATTGAAGTTGGTCTAAATTTCAGAAACTGTGGGGACGAACACATTGATCCTTTTCTTTTCTTTTTTTCTTTTTTTGTCTGTTTCGGAAACTTAGTAGATATGCTGGATCAATAGTAAGCAGTTTATGTTGTTCTCTTTGCTGAATGAACTTATAGTCCTTCTGTCACCTATGTTATTACATTTCCATTTTCTGGTCAGTAAGATTTTCATGTCATTAATTTATAGAGTATGTGATGTACTTGTTTGTGTATGTATGCAAGGTTTTTGTTTCTAGATCACCGATACCCAAGAGCCTGTTACATATGTATTGTATTGGTTGCTATATAATGAATCTTTAGTTTACCAATACTTTACAGTCCGTTATAGTGTTATCTGACGGACAACTACAATCATGGCTTACCATGATTGTATGTGTTCACTCTCCAAAGCCTGCTTCTAAAGCACCATGTGTGGGATGTGATTTGAAACCTAGATGGATAGTAAGTGTTGGGCGCTAAGTGGTCCATTGCAGGATTTCCAAAACAGAATTATCTGTTGCTGCTTTGATATCAGGATCCTTTTAGTGGGCAGTAAACCCACAGTTTCAACATCTATTTTTTTACAGTAAGCAAACTCTCGAGTAATTGTATCTGTCAGTAGTTTGCTATTTTTTCCCTTGATGTGATAAGTTATGTTGACATACATATTTTGGTCTGCATTTTTAGAAATATTTTAGTTTCATATTACCAAGAATGGCTGTATCTGACCTGATTTCCTACTGGTATTTTGCTTAATTATCGATGATGATTTACTTAATAGGTTGCTCAAGCAACATCCAATCAGATGTCCAAGCGTGACCCTTTGAGACCCTACATGAATGTTATTGATACCATGCTAGCACAAATGGTATGTCTTCTTCCTATTTGTCTCGCTCTTTTTCTTGAACTAAAGTTGTTTCAATAAAGTGCTCCATATAATAGCGTTTTTCTATTTAACAGTTTAAACAAGACCCATCCTTTAAACCACAAGGCGGTCGGTTGGGAGAAAATGATATGGACTATGACACGGATGAGAAATCAATGGCAACACTCAGGCGTCATCTTCGAGGAGCTCGGGAAGAGTATTATCGTTGTAGAAGGTGAACTGAATGCTAAAATTGAATATTTGATATGTGTTTGTTAGTAGAGGATGTGTTGATTCTTCTCAAAGTTCTTATTGATGTTTGATTTTGCTTGACATGTAGATGTACTTTTTAGTTTCTCTATATTGGAACAGTATGGTGTATAAATTCATATATTTGTAAGCTGTATACCTCTTTTGCAAGAACTATGTCATGCTGCTTCTTTAGGGGATGCCCTTAGCTGTTCTCAGAGGCTTATTTTTCCTTACTGCATTGATGGAATTAAAGATTCTTTCAGAAAATTTTCTTCTTTTCAGTTGGTGGGGCTGAGTGGTCATTATTTGGGAGAAGTGGTATCTTTACCTTTCATTTTATAGAAGGGATCGAGAAAGAGAAATAGACAAATTTTTGGAGTCACCAAGTTATGAGTCACTTGAATTAATGGAGAATGTCTTTATATGAACTTTTTTTTTTTTTTGGGGGGGGGGGGGGGGGAGTGCAACAAATGTGCTCTTCTCCTGCTACTCAACTGGTTGACGGTATTGTGTCATGCTGTTGATGCATCTGTGGTCACATGATGCTTTTAATACCTCTGAGATTTGCTTCTTAGATTCCTGTCCTCATTTTTTAACAAAATAGTTTGAGTGAATACTTTTGATGATCTTGCTGCTTTTAGATAATTTACTAACTTTTTTTTCTTCACAGCGAGTATATGACGTATGTCATGGAAGCACTTGAACTGGAAGATACTATTAAAAACTATGAACGCGGCAGTTCAACTGGATGGTTTGTCCTAACTATGTTTCTTTATTCTCATCTTTCTGTCTCTTTCTTTGTATGCGTCAAGTTGGACTCACCGGACTTGAGATGTTTGTATGCTGTCATGTTAGGCAATATATTTCAAGCTTGAGGCCTGCTCGCACTGGGAAGATGGGTGCTTTCTTGGATTCAATGGGTAATTGCCAGATATACTAAGCCTTTTCTTTCCTTTTGAGTTTCGATTCTTTTTTTGGTTTGTCATAACTCTGGGCTCTTTTTAGTTTCGTAGATGGCCTTGTTATCAAGGTCCCGATGTCAACTCCATAGAAAATAACATGCTTTTGCAGTGATTGTATTCTCCAGTATAGTCTATTCTGCTTTATTCGAGGGGGTTACGATGCACATATGCTGTGTGTATGCACACACTGCACACACACATGTATGTCTAAGTGGGTTTGTAGTTTTGACAAGCTTTGAAGCTGAAACTTTTGGAAAAATTGTTGCATTGTGCAGAATTTTTGTGGCGTTGCATCTTAAGAGAGCAACTTAAGAAGGCATTGGCTGTCATACTTGGTACCATGTCAGCTGCAATTCTTTTAGCAGAGGCAACTCTACTAGTTGGCGGAGTTGATCTCTCTCTATTTTCAATCCTTATATACTCTGCGGGAGAAAAAGAGTTATCTGTGCAGGTAAATTCTTTTCTTTTGTTGACGATTCTTACCTGGCTTTATGTAGTTTATGTGCATTGTGCTAATAGTTATGGAGTACACTGGTCTTACTTTTATTTTGCGCTACTCTTCTACTGTTAATATATTCCAGGCGTTGGCTTTTGTACCTTTGATGTATATGTGCATTTGCACATACTACTCCTTGTTCAAAATTGGAATGTTAATGTTTTACTCATTAACACCTAGGCAGACAAGTTCAGTCAGCTTGCTTATGATATGCTCGTAAGTATTTCCACTCAGAGTTATGCTCTCATGAATTTCCCCTTCCTTTGCCCCCTTCTTTGGCCCCATATTGGGAAAAGTTGGTTTATCTTATTGTGGCATCTGTGCTAGGATGGTTGCTCGATATGCTCCTCCAATTTCGTACAACTTTCTCAACCTCATTAATCTTGATCCTAAGCATACTATATTTGAAAAGGTAATTCTCTTTTCTTTGATTTTGTCCTTCTATATTTAGTCCCATTTGTAATTGCATGTAGAATAAAGAGATATTTTGAATCTTGCTGTCTCATCTGGTACTGAGATCAGCACTTGAGGTATCAAATATCTAAGATTTCCCAGTGATTTTCCAGGGGCTAAAGTCTAAACTTCCATAAATGTCTTGATCGAAGCTTAACCTTTTGATTTACTTTGTTTTTATACCGGGTCTCTTTTTGACTGTTTTGCTTTTAGAAAAACTTGATTAGTTGAGTTGTGAGAATGATGTTAATGGAAAATTCCAATATATGTTTAGTGTGATGTTCCTGTTTTTAGAGTTGTGTTTCAAGTAGGATCTTTTTTGTTTTTCGTTTTGCCTATAGTTAAGGGAGTAGATCAAAAGTTCAGAAATTGATCTCCAAGATCTCTTCGTGCACTATTTCTGAATTTCCCATTTATCACTCCATGACGGAACTCTGCTTATTTCTTCTTTTGAGGATTGATGAATCCACAAACAACCAAACCCTTGGGGCCTGCTTCAACCCAGATATATCTTTTCATATATGATAGAACAATTGGCAAGGATTAAGAAAGCAAATGCCCTTTGGGAAATGGGCTTGCTAATATTTTTCATTTTGAGGAAATTATCTATTATGGCTACTCTTTATCTTTATAAGAATCCCTGGATGATCTAAGTTCCAAACATTTAATTTTCACCCTCAATGTTCAAGTTTCTGACTTGGGCTTCAATTGGCAGCTCTTCTGTTTTTGTTAAGAAAAAAGAGTGTTAACACATATTATTTGTCTGTGTCTCTATATGAATAAGAGAGTTGTGATTTTATTTTGTAGTTCCTGTCGGTCGACTAAGAAACAGTTATAACCATAGAACTTCAATAAGATAATTTCCATCCTTTACATACATGAAAATTTACTGTTTTACTTTGGTCTCTCTTGATGCTCTGGTTGCAGCGAATGGGGAAAATCGACAAAGCTGTCCCTTTCTTTGGAAATGATTTTAACAGAATCTATCCGCTTATTATGGTTATATACACCCTGTTGGTTGCAAGCAATTTCTTTGATCGTGTAATTGGTTTCTTTGGGAGCTTGAAGAGATTTAGATTTCAAACTGAGGCCGATGATACTGATGGATTTGACCCATCGGGATTAATTATCCTACAAAAAGGTAAGTGTACCATAGTCTCCTTGCTAATGGGTTGCTTACAATAGTGCATGCGTGAAATTTAATAAGTTCAATTATTTCTTGATAATCTCCTTGAAATTTAATAGTTGCTAGACCCTCTCCCTTTCTCTGATATTTTTTTCCAGAACGATCTTGGTTGGAACAAGGACTAAAAGTTGGCGAGCATGTAGTGCCACTGGCAAGAAACTTTAACAGTGTGGATGTGGAGTCGGGCAGCAACAATACGGTATGCACTCATGTTAAGCAATGAAACCAATCTATTTTTATGCTATTCCTATACACGTGTCAATCTGCATTTATGTACCTCGCATGTAATTTGTTTGGATTAGATACACTTGAATGACAGTTTTGCAATTGATGCTTTTTGTACTATAAAAGCATCATCATTGTATTTCCTATTCATCTTAGAATGATAGCTGGAAATTTTATGCTCGTTCTAACTCAAAAGTAAAATGTGCAGGATAGGACTGCTGTTGAAATGAAGGCGACAAGCAGTTTAGCCACTGAAGACAGAAAGGGAAGTCAATCCAAACCCTTGAAAGAAGAAGGTAAGAGATATAACACAAGCAGAGAAGCCATGAGTAACAAGTATGCTGCCATTAGAGAACAGAGCAGACACGCCAATACAAGGCCGTTGGAAACGAACATTACCTCTGCAAAGGTGTCCTTGCTTGATGCTGGCAATTCTCACTCCAACAACACAACAGCCGGGTCACCGTCTGGTTTGGCCTCAAAATGGGAATCAATGAAGAATGGTTTTCAAAGTTTTAAAGCAAACATAGAAGCCAAAAAATTTCTTCCTTTACGTCAAAATCAGGAACCACAAATTGTCTCCCGCGATTCATCATCTCAATCCCTTGATGAGATATTCCAGAGACTGAAACGACCATCTGCAGGCCGTGGAAGTCTCAGTGATGATGATGGTGAAGATGGGCATGGGACTGAGATCAAGATTTCAGGTCCTACTAGATAATGTTAATCTTGCTTATGACACCGAAACTTATAATGCCTGATGTAGACTGGAATACAAGGCGTACAGATAAAGGGCAACGCCGAGCTCATACTAAATTTTTTTATGGAACCCTGGGGACATGTTACGGAGACTCCATACTCCATACGTATATCAGCAATTCGAAACTCAGATAATACGATAGCAATAGGATTATGTTTATGAACACTGCTGATCTTGTGAAGGCAAAATTTTGTCTTGTGAATTGTACCATTAAAACAGATTTTTTCATTAGCTTCCCTTGCTGGGTAGTGTATACTAATACCATTTAAACACAATTTTCTTGCTCTTATGGTTGAAAGTCATCATACTGGCATATTTACCATGGGCCATTGTTTTGAAATTCAAGCTCCTCGGAAGATTGATGAAAGGGATAATTGCGCTTTTAAGTATACAAACTTTTATATTTATTTTTTTCCAATTTAGTAATCAACTTTAAACTTTTATTTAGTACATTAATTTTTTCGAATCTGATACTTGGGTACTTTTTGTTTATTTTTTGTTAATTGCTTTGTTGTTTGATGACTTCTCATTGTCTTAGATTATTAATTATGATTTTATCTTTTCATTTTTTGAGGGCAATCTTTCTTTTTTAAATTATTGTTTTTTGTACTTTTTGTATAATAAATCTCATTATTTTCTTGTATTCAAAAAGCAGAAGATGACAAATAATCTGTTTTTTTTTTAAACAAAAAACAATAAAATTATAATTCATAAAATATATATCATCAAATAATAAAACAATTGAGGAATCGATAGAAGTCGAACGAAAATATTTAATTAATAATTTTAAAAAATGAATGTATATAAATAAAGAATTAAAATTTATGTATTTATTAAAACAATATTAAAAATTATGTATTTATAATGCAATTATAGCATTGATGAAAGTTATGCCTCATTGACCAAAAGTTTGCTTGTTGACCTTTTATATTGCACGGTCTGGAGGACACGTGAAGAAAGCTACGGTTTTGCTCTTAATAACTTCTTACTATTACTTCTCATTTTACTGTAACTTGTCATAAAATGTTTTCTCCAGATGCTGTGCACCTCGGGCAGATCACGATAATGATTGATTTGAAAGAGGAAAGAAAGGCAGAGCTTTTTTAATTTTTGTTTTCTCAAAAGGTTAGGTATTTTAGGTCTTACTTTCACCTGCTGAAACAAAATGAAGTCTTTCCTTGGTTGGGCAGTCAGTAGTGTAATGATAAGACAAACAAAATTTTTGTAACGAAAATATCACTAATACTCACACGAAAATAAGTGACAAGGAAGTTGAGTAAAATTGCCTCATTGCCTTTGTTTGAATTCATGATATTTTCGTTAAAAAATTTTGATTACGTATTTAGACTGGTACATGTACTGGGAAATCTTAATTCAAACATTGGATGATGACTTCAGGAGCAAATTCAATTATCACCCAAGCTGAGCCTTCAACCTAGAAGATCTAACACCCGTAGGTTGCATTTGACTGATCGAAGTTTCAAAGATGTTTGGTAGAACTTGAAAAAAAAATTATAGATATAATGGAACTATATCAATAGAATGGATTTTTTTTATTATTTTTTTAAATATTTTTATTTTATATTAAAGATAGAACTAATCTTATTTGAAACGAGAACGATAAAATTTAATTTTTTTTAATAAATATAATTTTAAAATTTAAAATTTATATATTAATAAAAAATTTATTTGAGAATCAATTCATTTATTACTCCATGAATTTGATAGAATAGTTTTATAATTAAGCTAAAGAGGTTCCGTCGTTTTAAAGAAGGGTGAATTATGAATTTTAAAATATATATGATAAAGTTGATGTAAGATTGAATCCATTTATAAATAAATCATGAAAATAAAAATAAAAAGGGACCCAAGCTCCTTTTTGAAGGATGAACGTTATACTCCTTAATCTTTCTCCTCCACAAATAATTATATACAAGACGTGTAACTTTTCACCTCCTTTATCATCGTACCAAACACATCCCTCATATTGTAAATAAGAATAAAAACATTGAAATCTCATGGACATTTCAGAATACTTGCGTATGACAATATATTAGTAATCAATGATTATGTGCCCGAGCACGGCTCTTCGAGTCAACGTTCCACATTTTTTAGGTGGCTAAGAAATTCTCAAATCCGTGGGGGTGTGAAAATGAAAGAGAGCAATAAAGAAGTCAAAAAAATATGGCACCTGCAAGAGCTAACGTACACGTGAGGTAACATGAAGCATTTATCTAACCAATGTTGCCCTACGCCGTGACAACAACTCCACGATCACTACTGGTCTAAAGAAGACAGCTTTAGTTTGAGCTACTAATTCCAAGGTAGAGCATGTGGGGGTTGGGCGATAGAGAAACACCACCCTCCAATGCAATTGCCTCCTAATTACATAAAAAAAACTATCAAAGAATTTTGGTGTTCGTGCTCACTCTTCAGATGTATTACCAGAAAACAATTTATAACGCCATGAACCGAAGACCTCCCAAAAACCAAAAAAAAACTATGGATAGCATATACAAAATGTGCCAAGAAATTAACCTGATCACAATTCTTCAACTAATCAAAAAACCATTATGGAAGAAGAGATCAACATTTCATATCAAAAACAAATAATCCATTGCATAACTTTATAGTTATAAACAAGGTTATACGCATATCAGCCTAATTATTTCCTAATACCATATATATCTCATCTTCTCTCTCAGCATGCCCAAAAAGGGGGAAAAAAAAAAAAAAAGAAAAGAGAAGAAGGAACAAGAAGAAGAAGCTTAATTTTATGTAGATAGAAAAAAACCTTTTAATCAATTATACAACCTTTCTTTCATAGAGACAGCAGAACGCATCAAAACCTGATCCTTCTTTCCCTTCAAATGAAGCAACTTAGTCCAAAACCCATCATTCTTCTTCCCATTCTTGACCTCTCCAACAAGGTTTCTTGACACAAAAGCAATCGATCTACTCTTCTTTAACCGATTACCAACACTTACCCTGAACGATATTGAACCCATATTATTATTATTATTTTCCGAAATGTTCCGGTGATGGCGCCGACGAGACACATGGTTTGAAGAGGAAGCAAAAGAGTAAGGATCACCAGGAGACGAAGATAGTGAAGAAGCAAATGATGGAGGTGCCATAATTGCAGATTGTGAAGTATTAACATAGATTAGTTGCGTTAATCTCTCTCTTAAACATGATGCACAAACCCCTTGTTTCTGATCATGATATGGATGATTCTTGCATACTTGTTCTGGCTCAGACCCTCCCATGATTTGTATTTTCTCTCTGATGATGATCAAACCTAACTTTGAATTTGCTTTTAATTGACTACGCGATCATCTTTCTTGGTTTCCTTAAGGGTTGTGTCATGTCTGTGTCTTTATATATAGGAATATGGAGAACGTGGATGATTGGCCATGTAGGTACAGGGACACATACGTATTAATTTCCACCAAGGTTCATTGTATTGAATACTGGAGCACCCCAAAATTATGTGTATTTTGCTAACAACCGTCGTAACCCCGCCGTAAATTATATATACATATATCATGGAAGAGAAGAGAGTGAAATAAAATTATTCCATATATATATATATATATATATAGTGGGTTATAAACTTATAATATACATTTTTTTCTCTTTTTCGTATCTATGTTTTTATATTCAATATGTATCGGTAGTTATTCTAGTATTAAAAAATTCTTTCACTTTTAAGTTTTATTTTTTATTTTTTATTTTTATGTTGAAATCATATTAAAAAAAATATCATTCAGAATAAGCAGATTCGGCTATAAATTTCATAAATTAGATGGTTGAAATATTTTAGAAGTATTAGCAGTTAACGGTTAAAACTGGAGACTTTCAATTTTAAAGTTCAAGATCCAAAACGATGGGATGAGATTCGATAAAAAAGATATCTTTAAGTGAAATCCAATGTCCATTAAACATTAAACCTTTAGATGAACGAAAAACAATTGTTAAAGATTTTTTCTTAGAGAATTAACATTATTATATATTGTTTAGTAGAAATAATATAAGTGATTATAATAAATTAAGAGTAAAAGCAAAAATTGAATTTCTTGTAATGTTATGAGTCGGAGATTCAAGAGCATGTGAAGACGTACTTCATTTCATTTATTGTAGCTTTATTTGTTTAGAATTCTAGAATGAGGTTGGCAAAATCACATCAATCTACCAAATCATAAATAATTGAATTAATATTTCTCTCATCTTACCGTAGATCTAATAAGCCATGATTTTTTGGGGGAAAAAAATTACATGATTTTCGGGAAAAAAAAAATGTATCCAAGTCATGTACCACCATTATTTTTATCTGTGGTGGCTATTTGACTGCAAACCATAGAGATAAATATTAATCCTCTTCTTATTTTTTTTAATTCTAATTAATTAATTAATTCTTCTTTAAGGAAAATAATTTATAATTTTTTTTATACTCAAATTCTATACAAACAGATATATCAAATACTAAGTCATAAAATGCAAATTCTACAAGTGATAAATGATTAATCTTGTATGATAAGAATCCATATATAAAAAATTATTTATATAAAATTATTTTATTTCTTTTATTAATAGCATGCATGAACAAAAAAAATATTCAATAACTGTAATCTTCCCTTTCAAAAAATATACATGATTCATGATTATTTTTATAATGCATCTCATATTTTTGTGGAGAGCTGATTTTAATTCGTACGTAATAATTTCATGGACAACTGGTCCTTCTAAAATTGACAAATCAACAAAATAGACGGCGAAGATTAGCAGTAAAGCCAAAAGATGTGGGAGCCCACATAATTTATTAAAGATAGGTAATATACCGTTGGCGTCACTGCTGATTGTACGGGACACAAACGCTGAGTTCCGTGTCGGTAAGGCTCGTGAAAAGCATATTTATAGTCTCGAGAGCCACGTTTGGAACAAAAAGTCAGTCTGACCCGCACCCGCACGAGGATTTTGATACCTACGCTAATCAGAAATTATTATAATAATCCCTGCTTAGCGGACATTATCTTTTGTGTTGAGACAAACGTTCTGCCCCACATTCATTATAACTATAAGACGAACAGACATCTTTGATGAGAAACTTCAGCAATGCTTTCTCTAATGTCTCAACAGCATGTCCATTCAGAAAGAGGTTGCAAACACGGTTAGGGGTTTATTTTGAGTTCAAAGAACAATAACTAGTTTTTGGCACTCCTTTCCCATTAATTACCGATCTTGTCAAAGCCAACACAGAGATGTTTTCCGTCCAATAGGCAGATGTATTTTCCGGTTGCACAACGGCAGTTGAATAACGTATCTGGAAACCACCTGTACCGCATTACTGCATTTCAGCTAAAAATTAACTTCTTTATGAGACTGTTACTGCTCGTTGAATTTAATCTTAAAACGAAGAATATTGATATTTTAATTTATGATTAAGTCTTTCGTGATGAAATGTTATAGGGTTTAGTTTCATATAATAAGCCATTAGAATTTTTTATGAGTACTTAATTTAAAGAACGAGTAATATAGTAAATAAAAATTTATCAATCGAAAAAGACAAAATTCATTAAAAGAATATAAATATCATAAATCGAAAAATATGACACTTACATCATTAACTATCGAGATATCCGATACCATTCACGCCTAATGGGTAGTGGCAATGGTTGGTCGGCCATAGCCACGGACATCCACTGCCTAGCGGGCGATGGTCGTGGTCGGCCACGGATAGCCATTGGCCTTCGCTTTTGGACTTTTGGATTTATAAATCATATTTATGCGAGTGCAATAATGCAAGTACTAAACTTATTTTTTTAGAAAGTGCATTGTCTTTTCAAAAATTGAAAGTATAGATAATTATAGGAGAAAATCGAATTACCGAACACCAACATCGGCATATTTCAAAATCGAACTAAAAAATTGAATAATAATTCGGTTCGGTTTTGTTTATTTTTTTAAAAAAATTCAATTAACCAAAAACTAATAAAAAAATTTTAAAACCAAATCGAATAACCGAACAAACATCTCTACCAGCGAGCTTTGGTTTGCCTCTATCGTTCTAGTGTACCGACGATCAACACCTTCTTCCATATAAAGCTTCATAAGGTGCCATACCGATACTTGCTTGGTAACTATTATTATAAATAAATTAAGCTAGTGATAAGTACTTCTCTCCGCTGGTAGACAATCCAAGCACACATACTCGTAAGCATGTCTTTTAATATCCGGTTCACCCACTACGTATATCCATCGATTTATGGATGGAAAGCGATGCGAAAACTTAGCTTAGTTTCGTGTAGACTCTTCCAAAATCACGATATGAACCAAGGGTTTTAATCCGACACGATCGTCATAGGAATTCCATGCGGCCTCACAATCTCCTTTAAGTATAACTCGTATACTCGTTGCATGGAATATGTTGACTTGATTACCAAGGATCAGGTCGACTTAGTTGGTCGTTCCACTATAACCCATATGCCATTAGCTCCTTATTCCGATCTTGGCAATCCTAGTGCAAAGTCCATCGATATATGTTCCTATTTCCATTCGAGAATATCCAATTGTCTTAACAACCTTAACGGCCTTTGGTGTTTGACTTTAACTTGATGACATATCAAACACCTTGTAACATAATTTGCAATATTTCGTTTCATTCCCTTGCACTAATATTTCTTTTTAAGGTTTTGGTACATTTTCGTACCACCGGGGTGTATGGTGTACGGTGTGGTATGGGATTCCTTCAAAATTTCTTCTCGAAGCTCCTTTATCTTGAGAATACACAATCTACCTTGATAACGCTAAATGTCCTCATCATCTAGGGAAAAATCAGTTGTCTTTCCTTCTGCTACCTTTTGTTGAACCTTATGAAATTCCGAATCTTAGGGTTGCCATTCTTTAATTTTTTGCTTAGTATTTGGTTGTATTGTAATCGTACCCATAAAGTTTTCTTTGCTTCGATCGGGTATAACTTCTAAATGAAGTTTTTCTATATCTCCGTATAATTTGTACTTATGAGGTCGTTATTGATTTTCTCGCTCAAAGAATCGGCCACAACATTTGCCCTACCGGAGTGGTAATGAAAAATAATGTCATGGTTATTAAGTACTTTAAGCCATATTCTTTGCCTCATATTCAATTTCTTTTTAGTAAAAATATATTTGAGGCTCTTATGATCAATGTAGATATTACATCGCACACCATATAAATAGTGCCTTCAAATTTTTAAGGCAAAGATAATAACGACCGATTAAAGATCGTGAATGGGATAGTTCCTTTCATAGTTCTTTAGTTATTAAGATGCATAAGCGATCACTTTTTCATCTTGCATCAAGATCGTTCCCAATTCCATACGGGAAGCATCTATATAGACTATGAAATCTTCATTGTCCTTAAGAAGAACTAGTATTGGGGTCTGTAGTGAGTCTAAACTTTAGCTCTTAAAAACCCTACCCACACTGATCATCCCACTCAAATTTTGCATTCTTTCTTGTTAACCAAGTCAGCAACACGACCACCATTCCAAGGAAACTTCCTACCTCAATGACATTCTTCGGTTGCTTCCACTCTTGCACCGCTCTGTACTTTATTGAGTTTCATCATAATTCCATTCTTGGATATTATGTTTCTAAAGGATGCCACTTGTTTGAGCCAAAAAGCACACTTTTTAAGCTTAACGTACAATTTATGTTCACTTAACATCCGTAATTCCTTTTTAGATGCTCCTAATGCTCTTCATCACTCTTATATCGAATATTATTAATAAATACAATGATAAACTTATCAAGGTATTCATGGAATACTTGATTCATTAAATCCATGAATACGATCAAGGTATTAGTTAATCCGAACAAGCATATCTAAATACTTATAGTGCTCGTATCGAATTTTAAAAGTTGTTTTCTTTATATCCTCTTCCTTGATCCTTAATTAGTGATATCCTGGTTGAAGATCAATTTTAGAAAACATTGAACTCCCTCTCAAATGATCAAATAAATCATTTATCCGTGAAAATAGATACTGGTTTTTAACGATCACCCGATTTAAATCTTGATAGTCTATACACAATCGTAATGACTCATCCTTCTTCTTTACGAATAACATTGGAGCTACCCATAGTAAACAGCTAGGTCGAATATAAATTTTATCTAGCAACTCATGTATTTGTATCTTGAGTTCTTGTAATTATGCTAGAGCTATTCCGTATGGTGTTTTAGATATCGATGCTATTTTTTACTCAAATTTCAAAATTATTTTTTCTTTT